CATCCATGGCACTTTCGGCATGTGACTGTCTTTCCCACCGTCCTCCGTGAGGACGGAGACACGAAAGTCAAGTTCGCTGATGTGGCAGGCGCAGCTCCCCTTCTCAACCATACATGTTGATGCCATTCGCGCACAAGCACTTGTGCGATCTGGTGAAGGCTGCGACGGCGCCAAGCAGGAGTTGGTTGAGGTCGTTGATTTCTTGAAGAACACCTCGAGGCTGTCGGTGTGGGCTGATCTACGATGTAGTGTGCTGCAATGCGCAGTCTTGAGATGTCTTGAGTGAGTGAGGTACTCAGAACTGGGGGCCAAGATTCCAAAGGGTGCTTTGTTGGTGGGCCCTCCCGGTACTGGAAAGACCCTGCTCGCCAAAGCTGTCGCGGGAGAGGCTAGAAGCTTACAGCAGCTTGTAGTTCCTCTTAACCTGGCACTCACGGGTGGCCTGAACTAAGGCTGGCGTGCCATTCTTCAGCATTTCGGCCTCTGAGTTTGTGGAGATTTTCGCGGGAATTGGTGCATCTCGTGTACGTGATCTCTTCGAGCAGGCCAGCAGCCATTTCATGGAGATGCAGCTTCATTCCAGCAGCTCACGAAACCGTTTGCAGGCCAAGAAGTCGGCCCCGTGCATCATCTTCATCGACGAGATCGATGCAGTGGGCCGCCAGCGCAGTGCGGGCTTTGGCCAAGGCCATCATTCAGCGCGTTAGCATCACGCTGCATTCATTTGGCGTTGCTACATGGAGCTGCAAAAGGTAACGATGAGCGTGAGCAGACGGTGAATCAGCTGCTGACAGAAATGGACGGCTCCTTGGCATTGACAGTGGGTTCTCCCTTGGAAGTTGTGTACTGGCTTTCGACAACCAATCTTTTGCACCATTACGCAGTATCACGCTTTTTGGGTCGCCTGGAGGCTTCGAGAGCAACAAGGGGGTCGTTGTGATTGCGGCCACCAACCGAGCTGACATCCTGGATCAAGCCTTGGTTCGACCGGGCCGCTTTGATCGTCAGATTCAGGCCCGCCAGTTTTGTTGTACAGGCTCTTTGATCGCCACTGCCTTTCAAACCTATCAGGTGGATCC